TTTTTATCATAATACGTAATTTTGGTATAAAAAGTCTTAGGACTATCCGAAAATCTATTTTCATATCTAATTATAAAATTTTAAACTCCAAAAATGGTGAAAATCAACTAGATCTATAAACATATGACAATCTTGAAAATGGACGGTCTAGATAATGTGCTGCAATATCCACTATTTATGGGACTAAAAATCTTTTTTATTTTTCTCATATTCATACATTTCAAAGATGATCAATGAGAGGGTTTTCTAACATCCAAACAATCTTTTATGATGGATTTTTGGGGTAGACCTTTATTTATACCTTTTACAGTTGTAATCTTATATAAACTTTTTTCATTAAGGATATAACTCTACTTAATAAAAATTGGGTTAGTTGTTTCGTATGTATCTAGTATTTGTATAAGGAAAAATGTGGGAAAGTGTAAAGCGTCCATCTTAAAGATAAATACAAGTAGGTGTTCCATCAAAATACAATGGAAACTAATAGTCCAAATGTTTTTTTATTAGAATTATTATTTTTAATTTTTAAAATTTATTTAATTTTTCACATTGATGATCTCCATGTTAGAAATTACATGGCATAGAAACGGGGTATATGTATAAAGCCATACCTTATCTAAAATGGGAAAAGTTTATGAGGCTCTAAACAATCAAATTTGAGCCTACCTCCAAATTTTCGTTAGAAGAGGTTGTTTTGATGCTCAAATATCTTCAAATTGATCATCTCGACATCTATATGGACAGACATAAGAAAAAAAATGGATTTCATGTTTTGAAAATAGTGCATTTTATTTTTGTATCGTCAATTTTCAAGATTTTCAAGTTTTCATAGATTTGACGATCTACACTAGCTTTTAAGCTTTAAATATTATAAATAAATATAACAACATATTTTAAAGCTATCGTATTAAAACCACATTTTTGCACACTATTTGAAAGTATGCTCTAATTTGATTGTTTAGACCATAGGCTCCATACAAAACCGCACCCATCTAAAATTAATATAACACCTTATTTGGATTGTGCTATAGAACGAGTCCAGTTTTGCTGTGTTATGGTTGACGAGTGCTATGGTTGACAGAGGACCAAAAAATAAGAAGCCACATCTTTGTACATCTTTTTAAGGGAATGCAGTAGCACAACTTAGAGAGAGAAAAAGAGGAAACGCAGAGCTTAGAGTGAGAGAGAAAATTCGTGTGTAGAGAGAGAAAACCCTGAAATCTTCCTGCCCTTAACTGGATTACATTATAACAACTCAGTCCTAGAGAGAGAACCAAGATCAAATCCATGGCAGTTTTCCTGAACTTCTGTGATCAAGACACGGGAAATACCTTCACAGCCCATCTCAGCAAATCTCTCATTGATTCTGGTATCACCAACTTCTTCTTCTCACACACACGAAAACAACCCAGTGATATACAGAGAGCCATTGAAGAGTGTGAGGTGTTTATAGCCATCTTTTCCTGTAACTATGCTTCCTCTTTCTTCTGCCTCGACCAGCTCTCTTATTTACTTAAATTGCCAAGGAGGGTACCCATCCTTCCTGTATTTTATAACGTGGAGCCTTCGGATGTCGGCCGGCAAAAAGGGCCTTTTGAGGGAGCTTTCGAGGATCACAAAAATAACAATTGTTTTGATGAGGAGACATTGCAGAAGTCGAGAAATGGTTTGAATGAAGTTGCAGAATTTTCTGGTTGGGACATGAAGAATTACCGGTATGACCAAATATCTTGGATTTCTTAAAAAATAAATAAACGAAAAAAATACTCTCTCTCTAGTTTGCAACGAGGAAATCTATAGAGAATAGTTATGAAGTGCAGAACCCTATTTTCAGGTCCTATAATGGCAGTTGCCATTTATTTTGTTTTGACCTTTGGAAAAAGTTTATATAGAGCCGAGGCTCTAAACAATCAAATTAGAGCCCACCTCAGAAATTTCATTAGATGAGATTGATTTGATGGCCAAATATCCTCAAATTGATCGTCTTGAATACATAGACATGAGGAAAAAAAATAGATTTCAAGTTTTGAAAATAATGCCTGTTGTAATGAATTTTTGGACAATCAATTTTCAAGTTTTTGCTCAATCTACATTATTTTTAAAGTTTTTTTTTGACACGTATGACCATGAGGTTTCACATGATTTAGCCTATAATTGTGGGCTTATATTTTATTATAATTACCCAATTATGGGCTTGTGTTTTATTATAATTATCTATATTATCCAACGTTTCATATGGATGATATGGATGAATATCAGATACTTTTTATCTGAAACCCAAAGAGAGGAAAATACAATAATAATAATAATAATAATAATAATAATAATAAATAAATAAATAAATAAATAAACAAATATTGATAGCTTCTCTCTAAAAGGCAAAAGGGTTTCTAATCAAAAATCCGGGCTCTATGATAACGCAACCCTCTTCTGATATCAGGTTTGGTCTCAAGTGCGCCATCAATTTCATTGGTATAAGAGCCATCCAGGTTTTATGTTACTCTTGGGAAAAAAAAATTTCTTATGGCATAGCATGTGTTATTTACCATCCCACACGGATATATTTTTCCACCATTCAGTAGAGATTTTTTTTGGATATAGATCGTGGATTTATTTTTATTCTACTGTAATAGTTTTTTGCGGAATATATCAGTGGCTTCAACAAGAAGGATATACACGATTCATGCTAGAGATTTATCTTTAATGCCACCATTCATGACACAAGGATATACACGTGAATATTTTTTTCCACCATTCATGCTAGAGATTTATCTTTAATGCCACCATTCATGACACAAGGATATACACGTGAATATTTTTTTCCACCATTCATGCTAGATATTTATGTTTAATGCCAACTCTTATCTTCTCTTGTTGACCCATCTGTACCTTTTGAATCATAAAGGGTGTGTATGTGATATCCTATATCTGGTTCGTAGACCTTTTCAGCGATACTGACTCCTGTATCTCTTTGATTTTCACCAAATACAAATACACTCACATTACTCCTCAGATCTCTCTTATTTGTTTAATGGTATTCATATAGCTTCACGTTGCCTTTCTATCCTAAACCATTAGGATTTCACAATAAAATGGTAGAAGATAATGACAATAAGAGAATAAAGGCAGGAAGTTTGCCATTATTTTTTTTCTATGTAGTCATCCAAATTTTTTTTTTTCCCTCTAGTTTTTAACCACGTCAAAACAGGGAAACGCAAGGGCTGCTCCTCTCTCTCTCTTCTTTTTTTTTTCTCTCACGAAAAACTCAAAAAGATTATTGGTTTTTTTTTATGGACAATTTGGCGGGTATTGATTTTATTCTACCATCTATTTACTTCTCTATTTTTTACATGGTTGATATTGCTCCGAAGCCCAATTTTAGTTACATTACTAGTTTCTTTTAATATAAAGGTGCATGCTTTCTGGACATTGGAATATATTCGGTAATACTCCCGTTGAGATTGCTCGTTTATACTGTTGATATTGCTCACACGTACTTGATGTTGCTCATGCACCCCAAATAAATAACATAAGGGGGAATTTTATATTATTTTTTATAATTGTAGTGCTTACTTATAGATTGGGAAATTGCATATTTCATAGTTTTTTTTTTTTTAAGGCATCACTTAATAACTGATATTGTTTATAAAATAATTGTAACTCTCTCTAGACAAGTATTGACCACATATTAAAAATTTTGGTGTCTTGTTTAGCTTCTTTAGAACTTAAAAAGTATTACGTTGCTCATACATAACTTAACAAATGGCCAGTAGAATTGTAATGGCTGAACTTTTTAGAGTTGAAAAATTGAATAGAACCAATTTTGGCATATGAAAGAAGAAGATATTCATTGAATGGAACCCATTTTGACATGTGGAAGAGGAAGATGGAGTATCTCCTCATCCAAGATATGGAATATCTCATCGTCCAAGATAAAATCATATATGTACTAAAGATGATCCACCAGTAGAAGAAAAGAAAAAGTTAGAAAAAATTTTAGAAGATGACCTCATAACAAACTTCTATGTTAATTTTTATGCAAGATGATCTTATTAAGGTTTCGAACATCATGAAACATTTAAGAAAATGCTAGTGGCAATAAAAACTAAATATGACTCAACCTCTGAAACACACCTCTAATTGTTGTTAGAGCAATATAACTCATTTAAAATGAATGAGGGGTAATAATGTAGCAGAACATGTAAACAAGGTGTTTGTTATGGCTAAGGACTTAGCCATTGCTGATAATGAAATCCCCGAGTGCATGCAAGTTTTCACAATCTTAAATAGCCTTCACCTTCATGGAGGATGGTAATAATTGCACTTAGGTTGAATGCAAAATCTCGTACATTAGGGGACCTACCTATGCAACTAGCCTTAGAGTAAGAGCACATGAACAAAGATAAAAGGAGTGAGCTCATGCTTGCTCAAGGACCTCTCAAATCTAGCCAGCCCAAGCCTAACAACCAGAAATTTCAAGAGAAGTTTAATAAGAGGAACAATAGGTTCAAAAACAGATGAACTAAGCCATATTACCAAGAAACTAAATAAGGATTGCCAAAATGCTTCTTATGTGGTCTACCAGGTAACTTCAAGAACTACTGCTCACATAATAGAAAGCTGCAAAATCCAAAGAATAGCGGAAATGGAAGCAAGAGGCATGAAGTTGTTTATATGGTTTCTGAGTACCTGTTGGCAGACCACGACATCAAAGGATGGTGGGTAGATTCAGGCGCTAATCGGCATATTGCAATCTCAAAAGCCGTCTTTGAGGACTTCAAAGAAATAAAAGCTAGGGAGAAACGCATCTACATGAGGAACAACACCTATTTTGATGTATTAGATGTAAGAACTTATAGGTTGTATGTAGGGGCAATCGACTTTGTATTAACTGATATATATTTTGTCCCTTTTATGAGGCGAAATATTGTATCTGTCTCCTTGCTCATTAGAAAGCGTTTTGAAGTCTGCTTCCCATTGATGAAAGTATCAATCGGAAACCGTGGACATATTTATGTTTATGGACACTTGGTTAATGACCACAACTTGTTCCTTCTTCATGTAAATGAGAAAGATGATAATAAAATTTCCACTTATTCTGGTTATGTTGATTGTGTAATGGTTGTTGATGCATATACTTTGCATCTTAGGCTTAGCCACATAGGAAAAGACAAAATAAATACGTTAATAAAGAAAGGTCTTATTTCAAATCTAAATAATGTGGAATTTTCAACATGTCAGCACTGCTTAGGAATTCATTCAATAAAAGGGCGAGAGCTAATAAGTTATTGAATGTGGTCTACTCAGACATTTGTGGGCCCCTCAATGTTAAAACTCATAAAGGGATGTCCTATTTCATCACTTTTATTGATGATTTTTCTAGATTTTGATATGTTTATCTAATCCACCATAAATCAGAAGCTTTAGAAAAATTTAAAATATATAAAAAGAAAGTAGAATACCAATTGGATAGGAACATTAAAGTTCTTGGAATTGATAGGAGAGGTGAATACACATCCGAAGCTTTCAATAGTTAGTATCAAGAATATGGTATTAAAAGACATACCACTATGCCTTATACACCACAAAAAAATGGAATAGCTGAAAGGCATAATAGAACCCTCTTAAAAATGACTAGATCCATGATAGCTCATGCTAGTCTATTCAAGAGCCTTTGGGAAGAAGCAATAAGCACATCTACATATATTCTTAACAGGGTTCCAATTAAGGCAATAGATTCTACTTCTTATGAACTGTGGACATGTAGAAAATCTGATCTAACCAACTTAAAGAAGTGGGGGTCAACTGCATATGTCCTAATTTTATATCAACATAGAAATAAGTTAGAAAACAAAACTCTAGTTTGTAATTTTATAAGATACCTCGAAGGTTCAAAGGAATATCAATTTTATCATAAAGATAAGGGACTCGTTGAAAGCAGAGATGTTGAGTTCCTAGAATATTTTATTGAAGAAAACATACATGTAGTGGATAATGATAATCCACTTAATATCATAGATGACTTTGAACCACTAACTACAGTGGATATGGGTAACCCTGATCAACATGATGATGTTGAAGTACCCATACACCCAATGTTAAGTGGTCAAAAGAGGTTTAGAGCTCATCTATCATACCTTGTTGATTTTTATGTCTATATGAGTGAGGAGATGGACAACTTTATTGACCTAGATGAAATCCATGACCCTTTTGACTTCAATGATGCTATGAAGTTACAAGAATCTCAAGAATGACTTAATGCCATGAGAGAATAATTAGATTTTATTGAGAAAATTAAAGTTTGCAATCTATGTGATTTACCATCAGATAGAAAACCTATAAGTTCTAAATGGGTACTTAAATAGTTAAAATCTGATGGATCAATTGATAAATTTAAAGCTAAGTTAGTATCAAAGGGTTTTACTTAAAGAAAGAGAGTCGACTATGTCGACACTTATTCCCCAATTGCAATGTTTATAATTAATTTTGGCAATCGTTGCATATTATGACCTAGATCTTTATCAAATGGATGTAAAGACTGTATTCTTGAATGTTGAACAAAAGGAAACCATCTACATGAAGTAACTGAAGGCTTCATAATTAAAGGCCAAGAAAATAAAGTATACAAATTAAATAAGTCTTTATATGGTTTAAAACAATCTTCAAGCCAATGATACTTAACATTTCATGATGCCATCCTACAGATGGGATTTGAAGTAAATAGATTGGACCATTATGTGTATGCCTTGAAGAGTGAGAGTAAATTCACAATATTCTCATTATATATAGATGATATCTTAATAGCTAGAAATGACCTAGAAATGATTGATAAGACTAAGCCATGGCTTTCTTCTCGATTTGAGATGAAAGATATGGGAGAAGCATCTTATGTTCGAGGCATAAAAATAACTAGATATAGACAATCAACCATGTTGTGCTTGAGCCAAGACAGATATCTTGACTCTATTCTCAAAAGATTTCAAATGGAAAATTGTAAACCATTATCTACTCTTGTTGACAAATGAGCAAACTTGCCTAGGAAGGATTGTCTAGTAGAAGGATAAAAAAAACCTAACGTTCCCTATGCACAAGCTTTTGGTTGCTTCGTATATTCAGTAAGATGCACAATACTAGATTTAAGCTATGTCGTAGGACTTGTTAGTAAATATCAAAGTAATCCAGGCATAGCTCATTGGAAAGCAGTAAAAAGAATTTTAAGGTACATTAAGGGAAGAAAGCATCTAAAACTGTGTTTTCAAGCAGATAAGCTTGAAGTTATAGGATATTCAGATGCAGATTTTGCTGGGGATAAGTCCACCTCGAGACATGCTTTCCATTTTGGAAGGGTAGTTGTTTCTTGGTCTAGCAAGAAACAAGGGTGTATAGCTAGGTACACACAGGAAGCATAATACATTGCATGTAGCACTGCAAGTACCTTCGATGTCTGGATAAAGCGCTTCATAGATGACTTGAAGCTGCAAATAATCAATGGACCAATTCAAATGTTTTGTGATTATCAAGCTTCAATTAAATTAATTCAAAGTGGAGCAAATAGCTCCAATGGAAGACATATAGATGTCCAATACCACTACATTCAGGATGTAGTTGAGAAAGGTGAAGTAACTGTTAGTTACTTGCCCTCATCAGATATGATCGTTGGTCCATTAACAAAGGGTCCAAGTGTTGAACTATTGTCTAAGCACACCAGTTTAATGGGACTTAACAATGTCTAAGTCAGTCAGTTTTCATGAGTGACAAATCCGTATTAGTGTAAAAATACTCATGATGGACATTTGTTATGAGATGCATATCCACGGAAGCGTGAGAAAACCTCATGACAAGATATTTTCTTAAAGGTCATACTCAAAAGTGGGAGTATGCATGTGACTTATTATTATGCTCAGCCATCATAGCCAAGTGGGAGATGTTGATACGTATGGCCATGAGGCCTCATATGATTTAGCTTACAATTGTGGGCTTGAAGGAATCCCATTTTTTATTATAATTATCCATAATTATCTATATTCTCCAACGTTCATATGGATGAGTTGGATGAATATCCCTAAGATCAGGGAAGACTTTTTCTCAGTGACCCGTTTGAGAAAGGTGAACGTTAGCCCTTCTTCTCCCTATAAAAATGGGAAGCCAAAGAGAGGAAGATACAACAAAAAAAGAGGGTATAGAGCTTCCTCTGTAAACATATAGCTTTTCTTCTCTCTCTCTAGAAGGCAAAAAGTGTTCCTAATCTAAAATCCGGGCTCTGCGATCACCAGCCTCACAGCAACCCTGCTCTCTGATCTCAAGCTTGGTCTTATCCGCGCCATCAATTTTCACTAAAAGTGATGAAGACTATCACAAAGATGAAAATTATCACAAAAATTTCAAGTATTGAAACTACATTTCTCGACACTAGTTGAAGGTGTCTTTACTTTGATTGTTTAGAGTCTCGACTATATACAAACGACACCTTTTACCTTTTAATGTCCCATAGATGGAACTTATGGAAATAAGATATTTTAATTTGTTGTTTTGATAAATCTATAGATATATGAAATGGGGCCTGATGTACTTCTAAGACTTCTGCAAAAAGTTTATATCAGGTCTCGACGTTATATTGTACGGGAAAGGTGCACCTAAAAAAAAACCTAGTGAAGGACCCTCAAATCTGATCATCTCAACCTCAAGATTCGTAAACATGAAAAAAAAGGGGATTTCTAGTCCTTAAAATTGTTTATCTTCTAACACATTATTTGTGCCGTCCATTTTTAAGATTTTCAAGTGTTTATAGGTCTAAATGATCATCGCTATTTTTTAAACTTTAAATTTCATAATTGGGGTTTCATATCATAGTTTTGAGGCGCACCTTATTTCAATAGTATAAGGTTGACACCCTATACAAACTTCACCCTAAGACTTCATGACCATGAAATACTTCTTTGCACCTAAATATATCCATCCTATCAGCCAAGCCACTTTATTTGGGGCCCTGTTTGTGGATACCTCTATTGCATCACTAATATTTTGCCCGTTTACTTACCAAAAAAAAAGTTGTTCAAGTATTTCTTCCATTAATTGCCTAATGAGGAAGGATATTCTACAGGGCTGAAGCAGATTTGGTAAACAAACTTATTGAGCATGTTTTTGCAAAGTTGGAGCCCAGAACACCATTGCATGTTGTTGATCATCCTATTGGGCTCGATTCACGGGTTGGTGATGTGATGGAACTCTTACATCTTAATGCTAATGGTTTTCGGATGATCAGGATCCATGGCATGGGAGGCGTTGGTAAAACCACTCTTGCCAAGGCAATTTTCAACAAGATAAATTTCAATTTTGAAAGTAGTTGTTTTCTCTCTGATGTTAGAGAAGGGTCGCAAAAAAATGTAGGACTTGTGACCTTTCAAAAGCAACTTCTTAGGGATCTGTTTAATAAAAAAGATCCATATATAGATAATGTTGATAGAGGCATCAATCTTATCAAGAATAAGATTGGGTCTAAGAAAGTTCTTGTTGTATTGGATGACGTTGATCACCGCAAGCAGCTTGAAAAATTGGTTGGAGAACGTGACTGGTATTGTAAGGGAAGCCGGATCATTATCACAACCAGGGATGAGCATGTGTTAAATGTACGTAATAGAGTGGATAAACATCATATATACAAGCTTGAGGTATTGGATGACACACAATCTCTGCAACTATTCAGTTGGTGCGCATTTGGGAGGGATCAACCCAAGCAAGAATATACACCGGTCTCCGAAGATGTGGTATCTACTGCTGGTGGGCTTTGTTCCCTGGAGAAATTAGATGCAGAAGGTTGTGAGTAGTTGGTAGCCATTCCTGAGCTCTCCAGCAGTTTGAAACATCTACATGCAAAAGTTTGCAAATGATGCCCAAACTATCTCACTTTTCTGAACTAAAATACTTGAATGTTTCATACTGTGAGAAGTTGTTGGCTATCCACTATCTTCCCACCACATTGAAAGTTCTGACCACTCTACTAAAAAATAGTCAAATGTGATGTTCAAACCTATTTTTTAACCTAAATAAGTTAAATCTATTTTTTAACCTAAACAAATGTGAGAAAAACATACTTCTTCTAAACTCCATCATTTCTCTCTCTTCATTTATATACCCAATATTCTCTTTTGCTCTCTCTTCCTAACATCCACCTCTCTCCTTTACCTCCCCATTTTCCAACCTATTTCTCTCTCTATATGATTACCTCTCTCTTTTCCCCAACCCACTATAGAAACCACCGTAGATCAGTAACCTCCAAAACACTCTTTCTCTTGGTGGTTCTGCTTAGTTTAGGGAAAACCAGGAGGAGCGATAAAAAGAGAGAGGAGTGGTTGGGGATCGGATTATCTGTCCATTATCTCTAGAGATACAAAACAGTGAGTTCTATAGAGAGATGAAAGAAAGACCTATGTGATGTTTTATCGAGGAATACATTTTCTGTTTTC